GATAAAATGGAGTCAACTGGAGCGATAATACATGAAGGAATGAGTTCTTTCCCCCCCCCCCATCGTCACAGGGGGTGACCACAGTGTTCTGCCTTAATTCGTGACGTTATTCTAAGAACTGGCTGCTATGTACTGTGCGAAATCAATGGATCTTGCAAGAATAAACTTGTGGATATCCCCCTTCTAAGAATTCTAATTGAGTGTGTTAGTGTGGCCAGCTCAGGGCAATATGATATTATAAACACAGCACATATCACGTCTGTGCTGTTTATAACTTCATAGGAAAGAAAACACGCCATTCATAACAGTTTGAATGAGGAAACCTCTTCCAAGAGCAACAGGATTTTGCTGCAAGACAGGCATATGTAACGATGACTTAACGCAGCTAAAGTCATGTTTCATTATATACTGTTCTTCTGACAACAGGCCAGCGAAAAATCTAACAATCTACAGCAAAACCATCAATTATTATGGGCGTTATAACATATGTGTGCAGCTGGACAATACATAGACGTCGAACCCCCGCAGAGGATTTAAATACCTTGACGAAACATACACGTCAAACCACGCTGAACGGTTAAGTTGGGGATCCCATGCAATGCCTGTTGATGAGGAGTAAGTGTGTGAATGGGGGCACACGGTAGCATAGTTGGTTGAGACACAAGCCAGAAGGTTACATGTTTGAATCCTGATGATGTCAGTTGATTTTTCATTTGACCTAATCCTTCCAGCTGCTGTATGGACTTTGGGTCATCTCAGCCTCTAACAGAAATGAGTACCAGGAATCTTCCTGGGGTTAAAGAGTTTCTGGCACATAAGGCTGACAGCCTTACTGCCAAATGTGAGCTGAATGCCTAAATGATGTTATAGCCTCAACGTCTCAGAACTCCATGGGCCTTCATAGCCTGTTACAAGGATAGCTTTTACCTTCACCTTTAAGTGTGTTTGTGAGTGGGTGTAAAGGCAGGTCATCATCAATGGCTGTATGCTCCTGATTGATAGGTAAAATGGTGCAGTAAACTCTTAATTACCTCTTTGCAGGCTATTTGTGGAAGCTTTTCCTTGGTTCAGACGTTATCGTTTCATGGAAGCCATGGTATGAGTTTATGATTTCATTTATTTTCATGAATTACACCAAAAAGAAATGTAATTTGGTCTTTTTTTTTATTTTGTGAAATATCTGGAATTGTATGTGCATCCTTCATTGCTGTATGTTTTCAGGTTTTGTGGGCTCTTTATATTGTCATCTGTACCTTCCACCATTATTACATGGTGTCGAGTTCCTAGCTGTGTATTTGTCATTGGAATGTACTCACTCTTGTTGTGAATGTGCCTGCTTGTTTAATAGGTTCAGAAACAGAAACTTCTTCAGAAGATAGAAGGCAAGCTGGCACCTTATGGGCTTCAAATTATGATTTTGCATGGATGTAAGTTAAAATTTGTATAGAGTTTGCATCTGTATTGCCATTGACAGTGATATTCTGAATAGATCATCACCTAGTTGGCAAAGATGTATTCAGACCACATCAGCTGAATACATTTTATGCTAATGTGTCATTGATCGATACAGTTTCAAGGCAAGATATTGCTAGTCCTTTGACAAATCCCAAAAAGTCTAAGGACTACATCTTGTCTTCTGATCACAACTGTAGTTTCAGAGCTACCTTCTATACCTGGAGATGGCATCTTCCATCTGTGATTTGTCATGGTGACAGAGGACCCACTGTGGTTTAAAGTTGCAGATGGCAAAACTTTGGGTGTACATTGTGTACAGCTGAATCTGTGTGGCAAGGCAAGTGCAAATGGCAGCCATCTCAGAGGAGATGGTACTGAGAGGATGTGGGCTAGAAACTCTGTGATGGCAGCCCCATTACTACCCAAACTCTGCGTACTGACCGTTATGTGGCCAGGGAACGTACTAATTACAGAGCTGATTCAGTTACACATTAGAAGGGCATTGAAGTTTGGCAGAACCTGTGACATTTTGTGAGGGAACAGGTCAAATGAAATAAGCCTCAAAGATGTAGAAGAGGAAGGGCTTAAAAAAGAAGAGTGTAGTGTTTTCAGCGAGTGGAGCACTAAGGTGAGCTGCTCAGTCTCACCATGTTTTTCGCCTCATTATTTCTGCAAGTAGACTTCTGTGGCTGGAATGAACAGTGTTTTCAGCGAGTGGAGCACTAAGGTGAGCTGCTCAGTCTCACCATGTTTTTTGCCTCATTTCTGCAAGTAGACTTCTGTGGCTGGAATGAACAGTGGGCTGGAAGTGCCAGAGATTTAACAGCAAATAAGAAAAATTACTTACACCTAACTTACTCACTACTTAGCTTTATGGTTCCCTGAGATCTTTGGCCTCCCTTGTGACAGATGTCCCTCTATCTTTAGATTTATTAACATGTGTGGTGGATGCCACTTATTGTGGTCACTTCGGGACACAGCTTCATTGGTGACAATAACAGCTAAAACAGGAATGCAGCTGTTCAGCGTTGTTTGCTGAAGCAGAACAGAACTGTGTTGACTCTCCACTATTTCATCAAGAAAGTCACCAGTAACAATGAGACTATCATAATGTTTCTGGAAATCCATGCACACCTTTAAAAATAAGTGAAGAAAATATTAAAATTAGGGATTAAAGAAGTTCCCATAAAGTTGATTGTCTTTTCTGAGATCCTTAATAAAATGTTCATATGCAAGTCAGAGCCCAAGAAAAATCCAGAATGTTACATAATTACTTCCACTTCNACACAGCTTAATGTCCCTCCCAGAGGACTTGTTCCCTGAATTCTTCCACCCTTAAAAATTCCAAGACCTCTGCCGGGTTTGAACCTGCGTACCTTGAGTCATGAGGTGGGAATGTTACCCCTAGACTAAGGAGGCCGCTAAGTAAGGGAAAAAAAGTGATATCAAAAGCCAAAGCGCCAATTACAATAAACAGTATTATCTGTCTTAGCATGTGGAAGTGATAACATTGCAACATTGTCCATAATTACAATAGGTGGCATCCACTGTATTGTTTTCTGAGGTGAGGTTTTTGTTCTCATGCCCAAACCAAAACCCAGAGGACCAGGGGGTGCCTTATATGTGGCCCCTAGTTTTTACCTGTCTAGCATAGGTTACCATATAAGGGGGTTATGCTTCCTCTAACATAGCTTTCCCGGTGATCAGGGCACACACAATATCAAGGTAGTAGCTCATTGGCAAGAGAAGCAAAATTGCCTAATTCAGTTTTGAGGATTACAGTCTTTTGGAATTTGATGCTGTGTGGTCTGTGGATTGTTGGCAGTTTTCCAGAGGGACCTCTGCCTCCCTTTTCAGAGTAGAGGAGTAAGCTGAGTAAGAGTAGTATGACTACAAAATGAGGGAGGGTTAGGACTAGGGCCCTGAGTGAACCAGTAGGATTAAGAACATTGTAAAGAATGTTTGGCAGGGCACGGGGTTGAATAACAGGGTCGTAGAAAGATGGATGCCCAGGGAGAATTTTTATTATGTGACTGTTGAATAGATAAGTGAATATATTCATGAACTTAAGAATTTTATGAAACAGGAATTTGGGGGTCCTAATGATGGTGAAAGTTTTTTGTACCTGTATTATGAACTGCAAGGTGCCACATCTCAGAAAACCATGAACTTAAATTCAGATCATGAAATTTATTTTTTTTTTTTTTTTTTTTTTTTTTTTTTTTTTTTTTNAGCAGATTGTCGTGCTTAAGATAGCAGGTGACTGACCCATTTGCAAATACCATATTCCTGATCATTGGCAAATAATTTTATTTAATGTTCTTACATTCTTGTAGAAAAGATGGAGGAATTTGTTGACAGAATTAGAAGAGAATGTTGGATGTTAGAGATGAATATTATTTGTATGGTGATTTTTTGATGCATTATCACTTCGTTTTCCAGGCATTTTACAAACCATTGCAGTTGGTTATGATTGCTTTGTCTCAAGCTGCAGTGTGCAGTGATTGCTATCATTATGTTTCAACAGGTGTTTGAGAAGGCGATACATGCATTTGAGAAGACGCTGAAAGATTCTGAGGGCAAATACCAGTACCAGTTCTTGCACAGTCTGGTCATACGTACGAATCTGACACGTGAACTGATGGTCTTGGTCTTTGTGCGTTGTTCACAAGACCTGGCTGCTGGCAGAATCAAGCTTTTGAACAAGGAGTTGAAAGAATTCTTCGAAAATGGAGAAGGAAAGAAGTGCAGGGTTGTCTCCGTCTACACCAGAGTGACGTACGTGAATGTTCACCTTAAGCACCACCAGTTGCCTGGATTTATCCAAACTGCACCAACAGTTAATGCTACCAACCTACTGTGATTGCTATTTATTGTTTTTTTCTTTCTTTACGTAATGATGCTGAGTAGCTCATACAGTGTCAAATGGGAGGTTGATAGCAAACATTGAATTGGGAAGAATGTGGAAGGACACTGTTATGACTTACTTTAAGATACTATTCCAGCATTTGTGTGGAGGTGCTGAGGAGAACCAAGAATATCTTGGATGGCCAGCACCAAGATGCAAATGCAAGACCTCCAGAATATGAGGCAGGAATGCCAATCATGCAACTGTGATCGTCAGTTTGTTTTTACCATCATCTCTGTGATTTGTTTGAGGAAAGGCAAGATTTGTTGTAAGATTGATTGTGGCTTATCAGCAGTGCTGGTGCAGTATCTTCAAATAAGCTGTGGCTGCTGCCTTCCACATCTGTTCATTGTCTCTCAGATCTCATTTGATGTTACATAATGTCAGCAATAGAAATGTGTGACCAGGGAGACTGAGCTGGTGGGTTATATGCCTTGCTTTTGGCTACATCCAGAGGACTTTTCTTTGTCTGATGTGCACTACTGTTTTGCCTGCCCCTCTGCTGGAGGGAACACCATTCTGTCTGTAACAGACTGCTGTTGTCTGTCTTGTGGGCTTGGGAGAGTCCATCGCTATATTCTGTTCCAGATTGTGAGGAATGTATATGAATGTGACTGACCAAACCTTACGTAACACAATGCTGGATGCATGTCCATCCATGGAACATCATTATAATATGTGTTGAATCAGCAATGCACATGTTCTGTGGTCAGTGGCAGTTTGCAGTATTCAGTGACATGCAGTTAAAATTTGTAATGGAAAAGGTTTCTTGTATATTTATCCATTTCTTGTAACCTAAAACTTGCTTTGAATTCAAGTTTACTGTAATATCTAATGAAACACTACTTTAAAGTATCATTGCAAGTTTTGTATAGTAAATGGAGACAGAATTCACATTGGAAACAGACACCACCAGTAGGTCTGTGGTTCTGAAACTTGTTGTGTATGTGTGGATGTTAATACCTTCACCCACACAGCCCACAAGGAGGGATTATGCAACATATGGTTTCAGTGATCCTGTCTGATCCCACCAGCATAATTCTCAACTCTCTGGATCATTGAAACATACAATGTTCCTGCCTCATTATGGCATTTATAAAATTTACACAAAGAAAAGTTGGTACAACATTTAGACAATTCCAGAAGAGAGAAGATCAAGAAGAATAAGACAAGGATGGAATGTTTGGATCAAAACTGACAGTTTGATGTTGAATCCATATAAGAATGTGGATTTGAATCAGATCAACTTGAGTGATGAATAAAGGGTTATAAGCAGAACAGTTTTACAGAAGAAAATAAAGATAAAAGATTTGAGTTTGTGTGATTCAACCTTTATTGGCCATGCACAACATTATTGCATCTGTGCATATACATGTACATGTACATGGTCAGTTTGGCCAAGCATGACGTTTTTTCATGAATAGTGTTGCCCAAGTAATTAATATATGGTTACCAGTCCTGTAGAAGTGGGAGATTTAAAATTCAGTATTACAGGATGGTAAACTGTTGCCCCAAATTATGGTCCCTCATCATGTTGTATTTTATTGTCCTGTTGCACTGATTCATATCCATGATGTGTATATATTAACCATCTTTTAGTGCACACAATTTCACTTGTCACTTCACACTACATGTTTCGGCATCATTCTGCCATCCTCAGGTGTATTAATCACATTACACCATTGCACTTCCTGCCTTCAAGTGTCCATTTATAAAATGATATAAAATGTGTGTTCGTCGTCGTTCAATAATAAAATTTATATATTAACACTTATATACGAGGGGGGACCCAAAGATAACGGGAACCGACCTGTTGCGTGCGCATGCTTTGTAGTTACGAGTTGTGCTGCTATGTGGTGTTAGCTGGGGGTCTCCTGCGACTGTTAGTGAGCTGGCGTCAGTCTGAGTTAAGTGGTTTGTCTGTGGTGCTCTGTTGTGTGCGTTCCTGTTTCAACCCTTTGGCGATTAGCGTGTTTTCTTTGACTTCACATCACGGAATCGCTTTCCTTTCAGACTTCTCTTCATCTGTGGAAACAAAAAAAAAGTCCGACGGAGCCAGGTCGGGTGAGTAAGGTGGATGAGGCACAATCACCATGTTGTTGCTTGTCAAAAACTGTCGGACCGTCAAAGCTGTGTGGGCTGGAGCATTGTCGTGGTGAAGCAACCAGTTCCCATTTCTCCA